CTACCTTACTGATCTTCAGGAGCACCTTGCAGTTGTAAACTGGTCGGTCAACATACATGACTTTATTGGCAGTGTTAATAAGGCAACTTTCTGCTGAAGGTGGAACTGATGCTTGTTCTTCCTCTGCTCTCTCATTCACCTCATGCAGCACTAGCAGATGTCTCCTACCACAGGTTTTGCAGGGAGCTTTAAGTGTACACTTTGCCGCTTGGTGGTTACGTCCACAACGCCAACACTTATTATTCGCTTTAATCCATGTCACCTTCTGTTCTTTGCTCAAGGTCTTAAAATTGGAACAGTTGTTCAGGAAGTGCTTGTCGTTGTCACAATATGGACAGTAGGCCGTAACCTTCTCTATTCCCTTGGACTTGTTAACAACATGTCCAGGTGTAGGTGGTACTGCTACACTATTTGATCCAGAGACTTTCTCAGTACCCAGGAGGATAGTAGCAGTCTTACTTGAGAGTTTGGAAGTGCGCTTGGTATCAGGCTTCTTGTTAAACGACTCCTCTCTCTTCGGGGGCTTCATGCTGTCTTCCTGAACTTCCAGCCATATTCTAGCCAATCAGCAAAGTCAATGAGGGTAGGAATGGCTACTCTCAGGGGATGGATAAATCTCTTAAAGCTGGCATTGAGGTCATAGGGAAGTTTACTTAAGAGTCTTGAAACATGAGAGCCACAAGCTAACTCGATTTGACCTCTTTGCCCCAGTTGTTCCAACATGCCTACTAGTGACCGGACGTTGAGGGCAAACAGACGAAAGCTCTTCACATCACCACAGCGTATATTTGGACCATCCATTAACTCTGCAATCCGTTGCACTGCAAGCTTGTGGGGCTGTCCATACATTTTCGTGAGAGCCAAATTGTATCAGTGTAAGGTTGCCTTGAGTTGCAGTAGGAGTCTGCTACAAGTGAAGCTTCTTCACACTGGAGATGATCAGTGAGGATCTGGTACTTGTATCTTTCCGTAGCATCGCCTGGTAATAGATTCTCTAAGGCAATCTTCATGCGTGCAAACTCTCTGGGATCTGGTGATATAAATCTGGGGATTGTGGGCTTCGGCCCCCTGTATGTGGTTTCTCTTGGTGGCTCATTAAAGCTGGGAACTTGGACAAATGAAGATTCTCTATGTGAATAGGAAGGTGCGTTCTGTTGTGGTGTGTCTGCATAATACGGGCTCTGAGGCAGACCACCAGATGTTTGGGAAACTCTAGGATTAGTGAAATCTAATCGCAGGTTTCTTTGGGAGCTGAATGTTGGATATTGTAGCTGCTGTATGCTGGAGAATTGATATGGGGTTGGTAAGGTCCATAACCACCGCTGTACACACTTTGAGGTGGAGGAGGTGGGAACAGAGGCTGATGGGCTGCTGGCTGGGACTGTAAAGCAACCATCAGGCTCTGAAACTGTTTACGAAGCTCAGCGTTTTCTTGGCATCTCTTCGAGAGCAGCACTAAACTCTGGAACGTGGCTGGTCTGCTGCTCCCCGGTGACTTGCTCCATAGATTCACAAAGCTCTCGTTCTTGCTCCATATCATCCCTCAAATCCATCATGTCGAAGCTCTGGCTAATGGGTGGTGATGGAGTTCTGGCAGTTGGACGCACTAGTCCGCTTTGCTCCTCTGACAATTCCCTGCAGCTGCTGTTCTGAATCTACTGTGAGCTCCAGGTCCACTTAGGTCATAATCTGACAGGTAGGAAGGAACTGACATCCGTCGTTTGGGTCGAGTGTCCAATGCCTTTGACTCTGGGTTCTGCATCTTAAAACAGTATTCTGCTCATCCGGCTCGAAGGACCATTGAAAAATTATTAGAACTTGAACTTGCTGGTGTGAATATTCAGAACACTGTGGTGAGTCGGTCAGAACTCCAAAGAACGCAGAGTCGTACTCCAGGTGATTTAACTCGTACTTGCCGTTTATTTAGGTAATTTTGTGTGTGGTTCTAGAAAATAAACAACAATACAACATCAGTGTCTGTATAACATGACTGAAATAACATCACACATACTAATAACTGCACTCTCAATGATTCTAAACATCACATTTCTACATACACGCGTGTATAATTCTAAAGTGTGCACGTGAACAGAGCATGCTACTAATTAAGCGAAAAAAAACTAAAATACTTCGCTAAATAAACAATATTATTAACAGCTAACATCACTTACTTGTATTTCCACGCACACACATCAAGGAAGGTAACAATAAACAACAGCCGGTTAAACGAACAAATGCGAAAGTAACTATACTCCTTTTTCACTCTTTTTCTCTCTTTCTTCGTCTGCATGCTGCAGCTGCTCTAAGCCCCGCCCCTTAATGACTCATCATGGCAGTTTGTTATACAGCCTTTTTCACAGCTTTGGTTTAAATATGGAACTAGGATTAGTATTCCTGTTTGGGGTACCGACACGTTTCAGACTGAATCTCCTAACTGAGAGAAAATGGCAGCAGAAGGAAATATTGAAGATCTTCTTTATCTAAAGAAGGAAAAGTTTAT